GTCAGTGTTAGCTTGTAATTTTCCAAATATCTACAGACTGTTGCATGGGGGAGAGGATGTAGGTCCCAGGGGTATAAAGAGAAACCTGTAAGATGATGGAAGTCTCTGGATTCCATCAAAATTGGCCAGGCAAAGCACTTCAGCCTCTCTTGGAGAGTTTCTTGTGGGTCAGAGTATATCACTGGAAGCATTTGGTAAGGGTGAGTTAATAGAGCCTGGTTCTGATTCAATTTACACATGAAACTCTGGCGGGTGGCTGTTGACATCACTGTTATTGAATTAAGGACCTGACCCTAAAAAATTATCTGATATGCTGGAAAGAGGCAGTTGCATAATCTGAACTGTCAGGGGCGCACAAAAAATAATTCATATAATGAACCTATAAAACATATTTAAAAATAACATCAGTGCAGGACAAATAAATACAATGACCATTTTCACCATGCACTTACCATGTATTTAAACACATGGCATGATACAAGGGGCCACACTCAGAAGTGGAGGGCCAGAAAGGGTGTCTGTGTGAAGGGTATAACACAGTTCAAAAGAGAACTACATAAATTCATGGATGGTGCATCATCTTTGATGATGACCTGTTCTGTTCATTCGCTCTGGGGCACCTGGCTAAGCCACTGTCAAAGACAGGATACTGGGCTAGATGGACCTTTCGTCTCACCCAGTATGGCCACTCTTACATTTTTATGCTCTAAGGTCAAAATGGTAATATCATACAGTACGCAAGTAGGCTGTAGAATTCACAGCCACAAGGTATTAATGGGGCCAAGAGCTTAGCAGGATTCCAAGGGGGACTGAGTAAACAGAAAATCCAATTACAGTAGAAAGGATTGTTTTAAAAAATGTTTTGGAGAAGCTCTAAACCCTCCTGATTTACACCACAAAATATGTCTAATGAGTGGGTGTCAGAGAGCAACTCCTTGGGAGCAGGTTATCTCATAGCTGCCTAACTCACGGCTTCTTCCACCTCATCTGAAGCATCTGGACATGGCCACTGGTTACTGGGGTAGATGGACTACAAATCTGATCCATTCTGACTAATAAGATCCATTTAAATCCAAGAGCATGTTTTTGCTTATCTACCTTGAGCTCTGGGACTCTGTAGATTTGCCCTAAGAGCAGAATGATTACTTGCTAAATATCATTTTATCTCCTCTTATTTTTCTTTTAGAACGGACATTTCAGAACACCTTGGACCTGCCCAGTACAATATGTCAGCTGTCAATGACACAAAATTAAAATCTGTAATATTCCTTCTCTCCGGGCTACCGAGTCATGGAGACGCACATCTCTGGATTTCTATCCCCTTCTGCTTCATGTATGTTATTTCTATATTAAGAAATTCAGTCATTCTGTTCATTGTAAAAACAGATCGAAGCCTGCATGAGCCCATGTACATTTTCCTTTCCATGTTGGCCGTCACAGACCTTGGCAGATCGATAACCACCATACCGACGATACTGGGAACATACTTGTTTAACTCAAGGGAGATCAGCCTCGATGCCTGTTTAGCCCAGCTGTTCTTCATCCACTTGCTTCAATGCATTGAATCCTCTGTGCTGTTGTTAATGGCCTTTGACCGCTTCATTCATTCATTCATCCATAACCCGCTGAGATATGCTTCCATCTTAAACCTACCGAGAATAACAAAGATGGGAGTGGTGGCTGTGCTAAGAGCGATGGTCATAAAACTTCCACTTCCCTTTCTCCTGAAACAGTTCCAATACTGTCGAGCCAATGTCCTTTCCCATTCCTACTGCCTGCACCGGGAGGTCATGAAGATGGCTTGTTCGGATATCACATTCAACAGCATCTATGGATTGTTTACTAAACTCTTAACAGTGGGGTTGGACGCACTGCTCATCTTCCTCTCTTATGTGATGATCCTCAAAACAGTGCTGAACATTGCGTCCTACAAGGAGTCCCTGAGGGCCCTGAACACCTGCGTCTCCCACCTCTGTGCTCTCCTACTCTTTTTCATACCAGAGATCAGCTTGTCTCTGATACACAGATTTGGGGAGGGCTCTTATCCCTTACTTCAGATTCTCCTGGGCTACAGCTCCCTGCTTCTCCCACCGATGATGAATCCAATCGTGTACAGCGTGAAAAGCAAACACCTTCGTGTAAGGATAATCAGGGTGTTCGGCAAGTGAAGGGTCAGTTCACCACCTCGCTCCAGTGACAAGGGAGACAAAAAACATGGGCCACCTATTCCATCCTGGACCCTTACATCCGAGATGACATGAGTTATTGATCTCCACTATAGAGAGGTTCAGACGGGGTCTAAGCCTGGTGAGGGAGGACAGGGATAGTGAGGGAGGACAGGGCACTGGGGGAGGGAGAACAAGGCAGGCAGCAGCATTTACAAAGTGACTGTTTGTGGAGAGCCAGGAGATTGTTGGGCTGTTGGCCCATAAAGAGCCATATTGGTGGCTGCTCTGACCTCACAATTCCTGTCGATAGTCAATAAAGAGAAGGAATGTGGATACTGTTTCCCATTACACCTGGCCTGTCACTGTCTGGTCTCTGACTAAACACCCAAGGGCTATGAAAACAGCTGCAGAGCTGTTCACAATCCTGTTCCCTCCTGAGCGCTCTAGGTGCAGTATGACCAATGGGTGCTGCACCAGCTGTGGACAGGGGGCTATTCAAGGGTGCCACAAGACAGCCACTCTTCTCCTACACCCTCAGCCAGGTGATTGTGTCTGAGTGGTGTCAGAGACATGATTAACACAGGAGAACCAGCAAAAGCCATTCAGGCAACCCTTCCATTAATGGCTTTGCACACAGCACACCTGCTAGGTCCACTCCCCACTGAGGCAGGGCAGAACTGCATGTCCGAGTAAGAGTCTGACACACAGGAGTCCTGGTAAGAGACTCAGGCCTAGGTTCTCT